TTAATTTCCATCTATCAAATTAGAGCTGACCAACCACAGACCATTTAAATAGCTTCTTTGCCTACTATGACTCACAATTGTCGAGAAAAAGTCAATCCACTTGCATAGGAAGGGGGCTGTGGAGGGGGTGGTCCACACAGGTGCCACTTAAAAAAAAAATATACTGAGGGTCGGCATTTTCGGCGAGCTGAGGAGTTTTTTTTTTTTTAAAAAACTTAGTGGTAGTGGGTGGCACAAATTTCTAGTGAACATATCGCAACATAACCCCTGGTCCGCTCGTAACGTTTCCCAGATCTGCTCATTATGAGGACACGTGACACATCAACCAACGCTTGGAAATCGGTCACTCTCTGTTGTTGGTGAAATTCTATTACGTAGCCGAGTCTCTCGCTTCACACCATTTTTTGCCCATGCGTCGTTTCCCTGGTCTGGTCTGCTGATTACCAAAGTCATTCTCTGATACATTAAAGTAATACGTCGGCATAGCTCGAGCGACGTGGCCTACACGGCCTTGCCATGTTTCTGTTTAGTAAGGCTGTGGGCAGCAACGCAGTCGCCACGGCTTACCCGTGTATAAGGTTTTCTTTAAGCAGATTTCTGATCGTTAATGCTGCATAAACTTTATGGTTTGTGTCCGTTGCGGTGGCCGCGCAAATGAACGCAGGACAAGTAAACCCACAACTCACCATAACACATCCAAACATAGGACTAGTGAACCAACGGACAAGTTAACACGCACAAAAGGGAATACCGGTATATAGAGCATAGACAGCTGAACCCAACAACTGGGTTTGAAAAGGCCTTGCTGAGATAATCGTCATTCTTGACTTGTTCTTGTAAATTTATTTTCACTGCAAATTCGCAATGATTGGTTCCGAAAGATTTCAGCTACTTTTATAAATATGTAAATGTTTTGTTTCCTAAACTGAGTCTATTGATTTCTTATTAAAAAACATTAGCATGTTCTACACTATTGTTTAAAATTTGTAAAAATATCTAGAAAATTCTTATCTGATCTTATATGATAATTTCACATTGATATGCTTTAAAGTTCATTTTATTTGACTCCTATATATCTAATATTGCTTAATTGAATTTTTTTCTCTTTTTCAAGTGGTCCACTTAGAATTGTCCATTTATCTCTGACGTCAAATGTAGCCTATTATGAGGAAAAGTATTATTACCACATGCTTCAAAAATTTGCAAGTTTTTTTTCTATTATATTCTCTACATAATGATTGATGTTTTTTTTTTAAAATTACATGTCTTATAAACAAAATTCCTAAGTTTTTATGATCTTATTATTTTTATTAGGCTCGAGGCTAGTGGGTTGTTGGGAAAATGCATTCATTTATAATAATATTCTATCAATTATTTCTATGTACTTCAATTGTTTTGTTTTTTTTAATTAACGAGTGAAATGTGTACATGATGTATGTGGAATGTGTTCATGATGTATGCATCCAATGTTGTTCAAGTAACCTTTAATTTTTTAATAAGCATTTGTCAGTGTCTTTTTCAGCTTTTATTGATTTAGCAATTTAGCCTTTTCATTTTTTTTTCTGACGTCAATTGATGAATTAGGAGGAATAGTTTTGGAACTACATAATTGAAACTTTGCATGCTTATTTATATTGACATTCTCCACTTAATGATGGGTGGTTTTTAAACAAATATCTCAAAGAAAAATTTTTCAGAATTTTTTTATTTATGTTTTTTTTTATTAGGTTCGTGTGTTTATTTTTTTTTCTATCTTTTCTGCCTTAGTTTTCTAATTGTTTTTTAATTCATGAATGATATATGTACATGGTGTATGCATCCTATATTGTTCATGTAGCCTCTAATTTAAAAAAAACAACACAATTTATACTTTTTTTTATTTTTCTCAATTTTGCATTTTCCGGATTTTTTAGAAACGCCAAATGAATTGGGAGGAAAAGTATCCTAGCTACAGCCTTCAAACATTGCATGCTTCTTTTCATTGATATTTTTTTACAAAATTCAAGAGGCTTTTTTTATATACCAGGTATATCCAACTAGAAAAGTTTTATAACATTTTTACATTTGCTACTCTTGAAGAGTTCTCGAATATTTATGTGACCCCCACATACATACCATTTGTAACACTTCCAATAACTGCTGTGTAATAAGCTTCTTTAAACTTTATGTCAAGGTTATTCTTAATGTGTATGCCAAGTTTCATTTAAAATACAGTACAATAAGTTACAATATAATGCAATACAAATTTGTCTTTATTCATTTTGCATAAAAGTCAAAATTGGTATAAAATGTTAATTTTTTTGCAATAAAAGTCACAACAATTTTTTTTTAAAATAAACTTTAGTGGATTTTTGTCTTTCCGTTTGTATATGGTTTGTATGTACTATATTTTTTTCAATGGCTCTCTTTATTTAGGGTTATCAGTATTTTATTTTCAATGTGGCATGACTTAGTTGCGTTTAAACCAAACTCCCTTCACAGATCACATATATTTGCTCCCACTCAATCATTACATCTGTACATCAATGAAGAAATGATACAAAAAATAGTTAACTGTACGGGTACCAACAAGGAATGTGAGAAAGTAAAAGGAGACAAATGGCAAAGGAATGATGTGACCAAATTGAATGAGTTTATTGGCTGCCTACTCCTTACTGGCCCCCTAATTTATTTTCTGGATTACTTGAGTACACAACTCAAATAACTAACAACCAAACAAAAATGTTCTCAAGTCAGTTAAGTTTTTTTTTTCTATTAAATTTTAAATTATGTACCAGTGTCTTAGACCCGGTAGACAGATATGGTAAAAAAAAAAAAGACGAATCCTCCAAAAATAAGTCCCTGCGGGCGCCCATGCCCCCACCCCAAACCCAAGTGTGAATGTCAAGTTTACAATTTGTAGTTGGGAAAATTGTAACTTACGACAGTCATTAACGAACTGCTAGTTGTTTAAGGTAATAACTTTGACGTTTTTTAATAGGTGTTTGAGAAAACTGATCATAAGCATAAAAAATGCAATATTAAAAAAAAGTTTCTTTCTATAAACTTTAACTGTTTCTAAACAGACCAACAAAATGATATTTCTTCTTGAAAATTAAAAAAACCCAGTAAAAATGAATCACGTAGTGTAATATTTTAATATTGAATCTGTTTTAGTTATCGACTTGCACCACAGTTTCCCTTTCCTGTTCCGGTTCAGGACTGCTTGGATGTCACACGATAACAATTTCGAAAACAATAATAGATTCTCTTATATTTCTTCCTGTCTCGCTTAGCCAAGATTAAATATAATTCCAATTTAAGTTTTCTTTAACCCTTATATACATTAAAAAAACAACATAACGGTTAATTTAAACATATTCCTCCACAGATGAAAATAAAACAGATTATTATGCAACAATTATGTCTGAGAACCGCCACCTGTCACAACAAATGCGGGAGTCCAAATTCTCTGACGATGTGAATGTGAAACTTCTACCTAACATGTTCCGTGCTCCAAATAAAACAGCTTCTGAGGTTAAGGCGCCCTCCGATGGGAATGTGCTTTCAAAGATTAAATATATCGTCACCAACCCTTTATTCTCTCCGCTGATGTCATCTGACCTAACAGGGCTGCCCCCAACCTTCATCCATGCCTGTGAGTTTGACGTGTTGAGGAACGTTGCATTGCTGTACGCCAAAACGGCTGCAGGACGCCGGGGGGTCAGGCTCAAAATGCATTATGGGCAAGGGGGTTTTCACGGGGACACAACCCTATTTTTTAATGGCTTCCTCTGGCCTCATTAGTGGTAAGGTGGGTCTTGAGGCAGCAACCGAGTTTATACAAAGTGTGTTGAAACATTAATTTGGGTCAAGATATTCTTTCATTTGTAATGGTCTCTGAACTACGAGTGGAGCTATATATATATATATATATCTAGTGGAGCTATATATATATTATCTATATAAAAATAGATATATGTTGGTTTTTTTCCGATCTGTGGTTTCTGAAATAATATTTTTGCTTCTGTGAAGATCATAAGTGTAAATTATTCTTATTAGAGACGACCTAATCCATGCTATTAACATTATCTATATTAAATTTCTTTTTGGAGGGAAACGTTGAACAATTCCTAGGACCATTTGATGCCAAGTATATTCATATTTTTGTGAAACGTATTCACTATTGTAAATGTCGATATTAAAAATGAGTCACTGTTTGAACCACATCGTCTCGGGGATTATTTACTGAATATGGCAGTGACCACTACATTGCAAATGAATGCGTTTGATTTCGATGGTAATTTATTTATTTAAAAAAAAAGTATGTTCGTTCTAAATAACTATTGAAACAATCACGTAATCATGACAGGCAATTCAGGCTCATATCAGCAAGAAGCCAGTACAGGATCTGCTCATTCCTACCAAAGAGAATCAGGGACTGGAACAAGCTTTCAAAAGGAACAGTTGAGGCGACAACACTAGGCACATTTGCGTCTATTGCCTCAAGCCTTCAAACCCCCCAGTCCATGATTCCCTCACAAAGTGGCACTTGCAATCAGTGAAATATCCTCATCAACACCTGGCACAGAAACATTGCAAATCCCATCTACATCCATAGGAGTCAAAATGATCAATACATTGATCGTGGGCCCTTAATATAGAGAAGAAGAAGAAGGTGAAGTCAATCTTTGGTGATCGTAATGGTTAACCGGGGCTTGTGACGTGACAGTTCCTCGGTTTATTCCACGCTTTGTTCGAAAAAGTTAGATTTTTTCTCATCCAGTTTTATTCCACGTTTATCCTGAATTGAACACATAATAACAACAATAATCTGTCAGCCAAGCGGCACCTCTTGTCTTTACATTGAAAAAGGGGGGGGGGGGGGGGGGGCACTTTCGGGGGGTATTTCATAAAGGGGAAAAGGGGGGCGCCAATATGAATTGAACACATAATAACAACAATAATCTGTCAGCCAAGCGGCACCTCTTGTCTTTACATTGAAAAAGGGGGGGGGGGGGTGGGGCACTTTCGGAGTGTATTTCAAAAATGGGAAAAGGGGGGCGCCAATAATCATATAGTAATCATTGAGAATCGACGGTTTCCTCGTAATTTAAGTCATCGCGCTTCTTATCCCGATCACCGGGGCTCGGTTGTAGCAAACTGATTAGAGCATTCCTGTACCTCGTGCTCATCCGGTAGTAGACGAAGATGTTGACACTCCCGTTAAGAGCCTCCAGAATCCACGTGAAGGAGAAAAAAACCTGGACAACATTCACCTGCAGTCCAGTTACCGTAAAATCACGCTCCTCCGCAATTATCACCGACATGAAACAATTCGGCATGAAGCTGACGATAAATATCACAGAGATTACCGTCACCATTTTCCCGACCTTCTTTTCTCTCGCCGAGACGGTCCCCTCTTGATTTTGCTGTCTGGAAACCTGAACGGATTTCTCCCGCCAGTTTTGTTTCTGGTTGAGTTTGACCACGAGAACCACTGTACACACCAGGACGGCGACGAACGAGGCCAGGGCGGAAATGACGTTGTTGTAAATGAAGGACACGCTGTCGATTTCTTCGCGATCAGCGGTGAACACCAACCCGAGAAGGGTTCGGTTTCTTGCGGGAAAATACTTCCAGCCGAATCTGCTGGTGTAGTAGGTGGGCGCCACGCTGGCGGACACCAGTACGACGATACCAGCCATGCACACCGTGACCCGTCTTCTTGTGATGATGGTTTTGACTTTCAGCGGCGCGGCGACGCAAACACAGCGCTCGAACGTGATGAACGCCGTGATCCAACCCGTCACGCGCGTGAAGAGAAAACGAGGCCAGCTTCCGGTGAGGTAGTGGACTTCCGTCGACATGAACGGGATGTCTGAAAATTTAAACAGCGGGTTGAAGCAGATCGTGATCCACAGTAGCGCGATCAGGGAGCACAGGTCGGAGACGGTCAGCGCGAATAGACTGATGTTGACCCGGTCTTTAAAGCCCTGCCTCAGAAACACGATGACGTTGAGGATGTTGGCGGTTACGCCGAACACCGAAACGAGACCGCAGATTACGACAAAGTTAACCACGAAGAACAACTGAGCAAGGTCATCGGAAATGAGTTTTGTCCGAGGCGAGATTGTCGACGTTAGATTTGAATAATTTTCAGAGTTCATGTTTTGTCTTGATATATTGATATAGTTATATAAAGGTTCCTTTTTTTTATTACCGTAGTTGTATGGAAAATACATATGGAATATATAAAGAAGGACCCGTGACGTTGGATAGTAGCAGAACCATTCTCAGGATGCCTTTGATCTTCGAGGCGTCAAAGCAGATTTTCGAATGTGACACACGTTGCGTTTTTATCTATGATGCAGTATTCAAACATTTATTTTCTTAATGCTACAAGCAAATTTTGGGCTGTCGTGAAAATCTTATATTGAAAGGTCCACTTAGAGATTGACAATGGTAAGGTAAAAAATTGGCTGGTCCACTGCTCCAGCATTAAACAGAAACTCGCCCCTCTCCACTCTAGACAGCGACGAGGCCATGACAGGCAGCTCCGGCTCATAGCAACAATAACCCAGTACAGGAACTCCTCATTCCTGCCAAAGACAATCAAGGTCTGGAACAAGCTTCCAAAAGCAACAGTTGAGGCGACAACACTTGACACATTTGCGTCTATTGCCACCTGCCTTCCAACCCCCAGTTCATAATACCATCGCTGAGTCGCCCTTGCAACCAGTGAAGTATCCCCTTCAAAACCATGTACAGTTACATCGCGAAAACCTATGAAACATATAAGCCAGAACGATCAATACATTGATCGTGAGCCCTAAAAACATAGAAGAAGACTGAATTAAGAAAGATCTATAATTTTCCAAAATACAAATGACATGAAAACGTTCAAGTCCCTAGCTGCCACCAGGAACTGATACATAAACCATATCGTTGCAGTAAAACCCTCACTGCGAAATGTCAGTGCATACGAAAATTCCACTGTTAGCATCACCTTCTTATTTCAAATATGACGCATACTATTTCACACTTTGGGGAAACCAAAAACTATATAAAAATTCAATTACACCGATTTGGTTGCAGTTTAATGATCAAATGACAGCTTTTCCTATCTTGAATCCACACTCATTTATTATATCATTCATTTTTGGATCCGCGTGATGTCTAGCAATTCATTAAATTGTTACCATTAAATACTTATTGGATCAAACTCATTAAACGTATGCACACTTATTAAATTATATGATCAGGCATATTTGAATGACATTTTGGGAATTGCCCTAATACTTCCTAATTTGCATTTGTGAGATGTATCTATACATTCTGACAAGGGGAGGTGATCATGCTTCGTATAATTGCTTTTTTGTGTGCAATCACGTAATTAAAGACCATTTGGTTTCATAATTTGTAGATAGATTAATTCGACTCTTAAATGGCGCACCAATTTCTTGGAAAGCTTGGCACTTACGATAACTGCCATCTGATGATGTACCCAAGTAATGGGAAGTTACTCTTACAAAGTAGACCAGACGGTTGTTAAAAAAAAAACCACGAAAGTTACGAAACAACACGCTATGAGGAGTTGGCTTTGTGATATCCTCTCTCTCTCCTTCTAATTAACTCTATCTCCCCCCCCCCGGTCTGTCTCTCATTCTACTAACTAACGCACATATTCTGGTGAAGGTCTGAGATCACTCTCTTATGACCCCGTCTCTAGTGCATCTGCCGAGCTGTGCCATACAACATTTGAGATCAATCTCTTATGACCCCGTCTAGTGCATCTGCCGAGCTGTGCCATACAACATTTGAGATCACTCTCTTATGACCCCGTCTAGTGCATCTGCCGAGCTGTGCCATACAACATTTTCCTCACGAAGGGCTCTCCCGCCACCCTGGCCTCCCCTGAAACATCTAGTGAGGGGCATTCGGTCAAGAGAGGCGCTCAGTTTGTAGGTCCAGACGGCAATGCCGGCAGGTAGGGTCCCTGTTATGGTCTAGCCTAGACTGTTCAAATCTGTTTTTCAGAGTAGGCCTAATCAAGCAAACATTCAACAATTGACTCAACGAGATTGTGTTTAGTCTATACTCCAGCTTGTTATTGATGTCTGTTGTCTGGATTGACATAACACTGAAACCTGTGACATAACAAATGTGACTTGATAAATGTGACATGCAACTGTGACATGCCGACTGCGACGTGACAACTGTGACGTGACAACCGTGACGTGACAACCGTGACGTGACAACCGTGACGTGACAACTGTGACGTGACAACTGAACTGGGAAATGAAGTACAGCAACAGATCATTGAACTTTATTTCCTTTCATTTTCTGATATTATTAGCAAGTGTAATTCTTGAATTTTTTTTAAATTCAACAAAAAGATACACATAAAAAACTAACAACAAAAACAAAAAACAAAAAAAGAAAACATCTTGAGAAATGATAGTCTGATAGCTTTTCTCGGTATCATTAAAGATAATAATAATAATAATAATTAATTATAAGATTCTCATTCACCAACGGCGGTGACCGGACATAAAAGCCAACATTTTTGGTACTCCTCTATCAGGCTTTTTGGCTTATACTTAATAAATACTTAATTATGTTAGCTCCTGTGGGCTGAAATAGACGGGGTCATAAGAGAGTGATCTCAAACGGTGTGTCAACCGTCCTTAAATTTACGGACAATCGGTTTAAAAAAAAAAAAATTGACCTAAAATTATTTTCCGTTTTAAATCCGTAAGAACCTTAATGATGCCAGTACAAAGTGAAAAAATGTCCTAAAATGGCTTTTGAAGCAGAACAAAAAATGAAATTATCAACATGTGTCACTTCTTCTCGCCTGAAAGTAATTAAATTGAACCCTGTTTAGAACCATATAAACATATGATTTCGCGATTTAAGACTTATATTTATATATATTATGCTGATTACTAGAGGTTCGAACTGCATTCCTGAGATGCTCACCTATGAACCACGACTCACAAAGAAGCGCATCCCCTGGCCTGGACTCCTTCTTCGTAACCGTTGGTAGGAGACCCAAAATCGGAGGGTCCCCACTGAGTAACTAACCCAGAGGACACCCACCTACCCGGGCAACGGTACTGCTTTCTAGTTAGGATTACGTGACCTTTGACGTGGTGTCCCAACCTTGATCTTGGGGAGGCCCGGGTGGTAGGAGAGTCCTGTATTATTGAAATATTGCATGCCACTTTGAGACAGAATGGAGCTGGTCGTCACAGTGAAAGCCAGCGCTTTAAAAGTCGAGAGTTCAAGCCCAAAACTAAAATATGTAAGTGAGGTAGGGCTCCAGTCGCCATGGCGTTGCCAGCTCCAACAGTTCCTATCGTGGCTGTCGAAGCCAAAAAATCACCCACTCGTTTACGCATACCCTCAGGACCGTCCGGACCTGCAGCTTCATACTCCCAGAAAGCCTTGGCAATTGTTTTAAGTTTTCTTGGGACAACGGACACGAATTTTTTCCCGCTAATTTTACCTTTAAATTATACATGACCTCTTCTACCACGCAGTCTCCGTGATTGTGACCAACCGGCTCGGGGGCCAACCGCGTGGTGCCCTCCATTCGCAATGAACGCACGGAGAGACCTCTCGATCGCAATGAGATTCACCGGGAACGAAAGCGCCTTTCTTTGCCGAAGACGGAACTCCCGTTCCAACGAGATTCACCGGGAACGAAAGCGCCTTTCTTTGCCGAAGACGGAACTCCCGTTCCAACGAGATTCACCGGGAACGAACGCGCCTTTCTTTGCCGAAGACGGAACTCTCATTCCAACGAGATTCACCGGGAACGAAAGCGCCTTTCTTTGCCGAAGACGGAACTCTCATTCCAACGAGACCACCTCCACAAGAGTCCGGAGAGTATGGTGGATATTAGCAACCCATTTGGGTGGTAGGCCTACCATCACGCCCTCACGCTAACGGAGTGTCGAATAGCAATTCCAATGTTACTTTCACCTCTTTCCCCAATCTCTCCGAATTTACCAGCGTGCTTCCTCAGAAGTCACAAATCTAAATTAGAACAAATAAGTCCCTGATATGGCTAGGAGAATTCACTGAATGGCTGTTTTTTGTTGTTGTTTTTTTTCGTTTTTCAACTAGTGGAATAATTTAATGTAGATGTTCTTGTGTTCAAATTGTTTTATTTATGTGTGGAAATTGTAAAATGCAATAAAAAAAGCCAAAACATTTCCATTTGTTTGGATCAATAAAAGAATCCTATCTTATCTTTCGACTAAGTCTTTGATTGTCCTTATGGGTTTTAGCATGTGGAGTTGTTTTTTTCCTTTCATAAAAATCACCCGTGTCGCCCATCACTCAAATCACTCCTTGGATTTTTTTGATATGCTTATGTTGAAAATTCATATTACGCTGTTCCCAGTTTTTAAAAACATATTTTCATCATTTAGATTTATAGGCCTACTTCAAAATTAATGGAACATTTAGTTTCTTAGAGAACTGGGACCTAGTTTTAAAAAAAAATATATATAATTGATTGAACAACATTTATGAGTTAGCGGTGGCATGTTTTTCTTACATATTGCACAAAACTAACTAATCCGGCTATGAGTATCCCCATCAGCAGGGTGGCCTGGCATTGGCCTAGCAGTGGCCTAGCAGTAGCCTATCAGTGGCCTAGCAGTGGCCTAGCAGTAGCCTAGCATTAGCCTAGCATGGGGCCTAGTAGTGGTCTAGCAGTGCTCACGTATTTTATATTGTCTTGCCCAAGATCAAGGTCTATTAAGTTTACAAATTTATATTAGAGGTATTTCCGTTAAAATGTGTCTGTTAAAAGTGTACACATTTAAAATATGTGTCGTTAAATTTCTTTTATTTGCGATGGCAACAGTGAAGGTAGAATTAAGTCCTAAGATGGGGTAGAATAATTTTTAAAAAAATCATATGATTTAAACTGCCGTTAAGTATGGTTTCCGCCCCCCTGTCTTACAGCACTAATTTCAAACGAATGGAATTCCTCTAGGAGCCAACAGAAGGGGTAATAATGTATCTGATATTATATGTGTTATCTGCATTTTTCAGAGTCTATGCAGTAATTCAGTAATTGTCAAGCAGTTGCAAATGATACTTTCTTCATCCGGAGGTGCCGCAAGTCTCATGTTGTGTATCTGTTCTCTTGAATGAATCATGAAGACATTAATTCTTAATACTTTATTGAAAAGACGAGAATAATTTTGCTCACCGAAAATCAAAATATCAAAGTCTAGGTCCAGGGCCTTGCCAAGAAAAAGCGGCGCCCGGGGGTGAAGCCTTAAAAAATGCCACCCCTGAAAAAATAGAAAAAGTGACGGCCGAGGTGGACTATTCAAAAGACTGGTTTGGCGCCTCTTGTCTTTGTGAAGTTCGTGGAATTTTGTGGTTTCCTTGACTATCAACGGGCT